CAGAGTGATCAGTGTGCAGAACACATTTAGCCCCAATTAAGTAAGATCTAAATTTGTCAAAAGCATACACTATAGCCAGTAACTCTTTTTCAGTAACAGTGTAGTTAATTTGAGCATCGTTAAGAGTTTTAATAGCATAGTATATAACTTTAAAAATCTTATCATACCTTTGTCCAAAAACAGCTCCAATAACATAATCACTAGCATCGCACAACAGTTCGACTGGTTTCTCCTAGTTAGGTGAAACTATAATAGGGGGATGTGATTAGCTTTTCTAACAACTCAAAGTTGTTTAAACAGTCTTCAGTAAACTCAAATTTCTTGTCCTTTTCTAAAAGTTGGCATAGATGTTTAGTAATTTTTGAAAAATCTTTAATAAAACGCCTGTAAAAACCAACATGTCCAAGAAAACTCCAAACCTCTCTTACATTAGTATGAGGTGGCAGTTTAGATATAACTTGAATTTTTGCAGGGTCTGCTTTCATGCCATTTTCTGAAATGTTATGCCCTAACACAGTTCTTCCTGCAACCATAAATTGACATTTCTCCCAATTTAGAACTAAATTAGTTCTTTCGCATAACTCCAAAACTTTTTCAAGATAATTTAAGCATACGTCAAATGATGTTCCAAATATAGAGAAATCATCCATAAACACTTCTATGCCATCATCAATTAACTTACTAAATATAGACATCATACATCTCTGGAATGTTGCAGGTGCATTACATAATTCGAAAGACATTCTTCAAAAAGCCAAAGTTTCAAAAGGACTAGTAAATGTTGTCTTTTATTTATCCTCAGGAGCAATAGGAATTTGATGGTAGTTGGTATATCCATCTAAAAAACAAAAATATTTGTGCCCAGCAAGTCTATCCAATATTTGGTCTAGGAATGGTAAAGGGAAGTGATCTTTCCTAGTGGCAGTGTTTAATTTTTTATAATCAATGCAAATACGCCACCAGTAACTTGTCTGATAGGTATTAATTCATTATACTCTTTTCCTTCAACAGTCACTCCTCTTTTCTTAGGAAAATAATGAATTGTACTTACCCAAGCATTATCTAAAATAGGATATATAATTCCAGTGTCCAGTCATTTCATAATTTCCTTCTTGACTACTTCTTTCATCATTGGGTTTAATCTCCTTTGTGGATCAACTCTTGGTTTATATTATTCATCCAATATAATTCTGCGCATACAGATCGAAGGACTGATTTCTTTAATATCAGCTAAGGTCCAACCAAAAGCTTTCTTATAT